TTTTAGGAAAACTAGCTTCGTTTTATTTTAAAACCTCTTCAATTCAACATAAAGATATATCAAATAAAATAAATATGCAATTTGTAATTTTGTGCAACAAGTATAATGGGACTTGTAGTAATAGCACTTTTTATAGCGTCTAAAAATCTCCATAAAAGATCGATGTTTTTAATTTTTGAATGAAAAATGCTAAAGCTGACTTTTTTTGAAAAGAAAAAGCAAAAACTGATTAAAAAGTTCTTAAAGTATCTGTTAAAGTAGACATTAAAAAGTTCGAGGACTACAACTCACAGTGTTTTGTTGCACAAAGGCATCGCGCACATTGTCTATAGGTCTAAATCTAAATCTAAATTTATTAATCTGCAAATTTTACACATCTAGCAGATATATAACTTAATAGTAAGAAAGAAAAAAAAAGATAGGAATTAGCAATAAAAAGCATCATATATACTATATATAAATATGAAAATTATAACAAAAATATTCCTTATAATTTGGGGTTGGCTATTTTTTGGTGCACACAACTCTTTTCGCGCGCTCGAAGCATGGTGTTTGTAATAACAATCCTTGAACCATTCAAGTGAATTTCCTTTTTTTAAGCAACACCAGCAGATAATTTCATATCCCCAGCCTCCTAAATGCAATGTTGTCATCAAGCATGTTACTATAGTACTCAATCATCCAAAACCCGACCCATTAATGATGAAAGGGGGCTAAGGGGAAGAAAAAATTAAAGCAGAAAAATATTAGGCTGGCCAAGTCAAATAATCCTAGGTCCAAGGTATTTTGGCAACGATGTGTAGGCTATTTAATCAGTAGGAGCTTCCTTCTTGACTTCAGATTCACCCGGGAAGACAAGACAAATGACTATTTGTTCACTTTGGAGCTACTGGAAAACAATCCATGTTTCTACCTGCAGGTCAAAAGCGAGACCGTTCAAAAGACTCAATAAAATCATTTCACTACTTTCAAATTAATCCGTGCTTTGGCAATGTCGGATAAACCCAAGGACACAATGGATAAAAGTATAATCCCAATAATTATAGAGTGCACGTCACATAAGCATGANAATATGAAAATTATAATAAAAATATTCCTATAATAAAAATATTCCGTATAATTTGGGGTTGGCTATTTTTTGGTGCACACAACTCTTTTCGCGCGCTCGAAGCATGGTGTTTGTAATAACAATCCTTGAACCATTCAAGTGAATTTCCTTTTTTTAAGCAACACCAGCAGATAATTTCATATCCCCAGCCTCCTAAATGCAATGTTGTCATCAAGCATGTTACTATAGTACTCAATCATCCAAAACCCGACCCATTAATGATGAAAGGGGGCTAAGGGGAAGAAAAAATTAAAGCAGAAAAATATTAGGCTGGCCAAGTCAAATAATCCTAGGTCCAAGGTATTTTGGCAACGATGTGTAGGCTATTTAATCAGTAGGAGCTTCCTTCTTGACTTCAGATTCACCCGGGAAGACAAGACAAATGACTATTTGTTCACTTTGGAGCTACTGGAAAACAATCCAATAGGGGTATGGGCAGCAAATAGTAAAAACGTCACGGAAAATGATGTTTTTTTTGCCAAAAAGATCCGTCATTATTGAAATATAAKCATAATTTAAATCATGTATGGAACGGACAAAACGTTTTACGTTGCGTGACGCCAAGAAGGCGGCACTTGATTAGGGATAGAGATTTTTGTGATAGTGTAAATCAATAAGTTTAAATGGAAACTACGACAAAACATCAACAAGTAACAAAAKCTGGCAGAATGAGCAGGGATGCAATATATTTCAATTTTTAAGACCAAAACTGCGTGTCATGAGACAGGAAGCCCAGACGTAAAATAGGAGYCGTAAAGTCTTTGGTAGACATATCATTTTCTTGTTTTTCTGAATCATTATCGGCACCATTATCATTCACTTGAAAAGTAATACGACCTAATCTACTGATCCTACAATCAATCTGTAAGCTGCAAGCCCCACCCATTCCCTCTTCCCCCTCCCCTAACGTACACCCCTCTTGCTTTGTGTCGTGACGTATGCAACCTACGATGGAAAACGGACTGGTAAAAACACTAGGGAAAGCATGTGGACTAGGGTCGCCGTGCACTGTTTGTCAGCGAGAACGCTGTGCCCACGTTCCTAAAGTCCTCAGATACCGTTCAATATGAATAAATGAAATTGAATCGGCCGTATTAAAAACGGGGCGAGGCGAGGAGAGACGAAAATAAACCTGACTAAGCCCATGTGATATAGTCCACTCARGTCCTGCGTCTGTGGGCGAGAGAGAGCTAGAAAAAAAAGTTTGGAGCGGTTTAATACAAGTAAAACAGCTAAAAATATCTCTATTATGATCACACGGATCGTTTTCAATCAATAGTATTCGTTAATAAGRCTCTTCATGTCGGATTAAATGACGTACAGTCGAAGTCTGGAAGATTTAGATATAGTTGTTCATATAATTYATGCAATAAAGTGGTTTTTGAATCTAAAAAGTGTGTCTAATTGCATAATAATGATAATTCTAGTCCCTTCTTGCGCATTATTGATTCATATTGTTCAAGACAAAGGTGACGTAGCCTTAATGGGTGCGGCAAAATTATCCAAAAAGTCAACTTTTTATGATTTGATGTAGTTTATACATCAAACTGTGCACTTTTTTAAAGGTGAGTCTTTTGTCAAGTGTCTCCGTCAAGTAAAATAATCCACGTGGGAATWTAGCTGTTTTCGCAAACAAGTCACGCGCTATGTCACAGTTATAAATACCCTAAGGGGTGTCACGCACTGCTTGTCACGCTCAGGGGGGCTTTGCAAGTAAAGTAAACAAAGTCACAATAATAACAAAAGCTTAATCAAATAAAGCGGCTTATGACGAAACTAGTAAATTATCAAGGCATTTGCCAATTACAGGCACATCTGTTTTTCCCATCAAAGAATAATTCAATTTTGATKGCTATGTTTATCTTTCATACATTTTGCATTTTGCGTGATTTCMCTTGGTTTTGTGCTGTTTAATTTTTATTGAATTTGATAGCTGTACTTTCAGTATTTAACATCCCRATGGGGCATAACTTTTGACGTTTTATAGAACCCACTGGGAGGGCTAGAATAAAATACRCCGTCTTTACTTGTAATGTAGCAATATATTAAAGCATTTATTTCCATGAACACGWTCAGCATAAATCTTGAGAAGTGCAAATTTTGTTGATATTTGGCAGTGATGCTGTGACTTGTTAAGCGTYCCTGTCGRGAGCACAGGTCGTCCGAWTGACAATGTGAAAAATATACTCACGCAACACATATGATCCTTAAGAATTTGTGTGACACCAGATAGACCTCAGGAAGTTATTGTGAAGAAATCAAGTGACAATAGTCTATAAAATAGGCCTTTACAGTCGGCACAAAACATCCAGACCTTCTGTAAATACTACAGCAAGAGCCAATCAACGTGCTGGATTGTTTGTCATAAATATTCATCACATTCGAAATTATGGTCGAATGAGTCGAGCCGGATCGGCGTTTCCACGTAGTGCTAGACGCATATCACACTTGATTTTTCATGAATTTGAGGGCCAAATCATTCAGGAATCAAGGTATGCATTGAAGATATCACTTCACGATACTTCAAACAATCTAATAAAATTTGATTATGGTTTTTACTCYTGACAGGTCAGTGAAAATAAGCGTACTCCCAAAAGGCAAGTACAACGTGGCTTTACTGAACGCAGTTTCGTGGCTTTCTTGGGAAAATTAGTGTGGAAAGATGGACTTTTATACAAGCTAAATCATGTCCCGGCCTTCAACGCCACTTGGTAGAGCTAGAAGAACCTCGGGGACGAAGAGTCCAGCCACTGTTGCTGATCGAGCTGTCCACAAAATCGCCGGTAAGTCGTTGTAAAGTGATGGTAAATTTGCCATGAATTGATTTTGACTTAGCCCATAAGGTGCCAGAAATGATATGTAAAATGACGAATGAGATGATCAGAGGTTATTATCGTTTGGTGGTTTTATAAGGGAATTGTTCGAATCACCGATATTACGTCGGTTCAGAATGTTTTGAAGTCGAGCCCGCCACCTGTCGAAGGGATCACTAGTCGCTCAATCAAAGTTTGCCTAGCTTTTTGRGCATAAAATTTTCCCACTCGTTACACTGCAAGGTTTTCTGCTTTACGCTTTTGACATTTTCCCCATATGTCTTGAATATCAAAATAGTATAGTCAATAACAGTTTTGACATATGAAATCCAATACGACGAAATACAACACTGCCAAAGTTCGCTCTATGTCAAAGTAAAATTGTGTGATTTGGTCAATAGCTTTAGCACATTTTTAACCCCACTTTTCTCTTCGATATTTATCTTTTGCAAACTCATACAGAATGTTATAATCTTTATCAAAATACAACTGTCTTTCAGCATTCAAATTAAATGAAGGTTATCTAGAACGAGTTTGTCTTTCTTCGCGTGCGCAAACTTTTGGAGTAAACTTCCACCAAAAGAACACTAAACTTTTCGCCTGCCTGAATATTTTACTTTCCAAGCAATAATACRTGTTTTGTATACAGAAATCGAAGGCGGAGTTCAATACATTTGCATACAGGGTGTCTGGAAAAGCTCCCAAAAGTCTCTGAAGTTTTAAAACATTTTCTCAGGCATGGATACCGCGGATACGAATATTTCATCTCAAATTTCAAGATATGATCCACTTCGGCCATGCATCGGAGAGTCTGTCTCCCGATTGTAATTCATCTTCGTCTCCATGTGCAATGTGACCCAGAATAACCATTCTTGCATATCATTTAACTCTGCGAAGTTGTGTCCAACTTAAACAACTTAAACATAGCAGCAATTTGCTTAATTGCTAAGACAATCTTGAGATAACCACGGGACTACGATTAAATTTCGCGTTCTTGCGAGCGTTTTARATTATATTCAAAGTCACGTTATTGCTGAACTTTTCGGTTGTTCATGGTCGACTATGCTCGTATGCTGAATAACCCAGCTTGAAACTTGAAATTGAAGAGGTTGGTTACGTAAATGATGGCGGAATATGAGTTCTTTATGGAGGCAGAGACTCGAGAAGAAGARGACGAAGATGACGAGGGTCAAAGAATGGTGGAGCTTAAACACAACGAGCCAGGTTCGAATAGACAAACTTTTTACGTCGCTCAAAATGTCATGTTACGAAGTTGTGTTTTGTCGWCGGAGTTGTCAATGGGAGAGTTTGTGGTTGCATTAATATTTTATGATGTTATTAAACTWTCTTCAAGTCAAACACTAGTGCTTTATAAGGCTTATTTTGAAGTGCAGTTAACGAAATTTTCGTGACCAATGTACTCAGTATAATATACAATTTCTGCAATAGTAGTTTTTCCATTCAAAATGGAGGCTGAACTACTATTAAATCGTTAATCCTTAGCATATCCGAGAAAGATTTCGAACTTTTAAATTTTTGGCTGTATTTTAAACGTTTGAGGACATATCTCAAGTGTTTTCCGGACAACTTTACTACTGTAATGCTTTTACTTCGAGCTAAAAGTTGTCTTCGTTCATTTTGTTCAGATCATAGAGATGCAGTACAAAAGAAGACTTTTACCAAGTGGGTCAACAACCGTCTGCAGAAGGTAAAATAATGCCCTAAGCCCTCTATGTATGATAATTTATTTTTACCATTGTTTCGTTAGWATGTACGTGATTTTATGAGCATCCTTAACTATTGTACATTTGAATGGAGGCTTCGATCTTCGCACCGTCAAGAACAGTCTAGTTTAGTGGATAAAAAAGAATCCCTCCTGATTTCGACACAGTTCCCCTAGTGATAAGACATTTATATCATAAACCATAAATAATTGTGATAAGCTCTCTGAAGTAGGAGTTTAAAAACATTGCGAGTTTTCCCACGATGGATGATTCGATAGCTGACATTGAAATGGCTTCCTTGAGCTTCTTTCGAATCGTGAAGATTTCATCGCTAAAATTTATAAAGAAGTTTCTTGTGTTTYGTTTCTTTTTGTTATCACTTAACACCTAATTTGGCGCGTTTCAGCCATTTTAAAGCCTTYTAATTGAACCGACTTTCAGTTTAATGAACATTTTCTACCTCATGTTGCATACAAACCCCTATTGTCTATCTATAATATTTTTGTCATATTTTCCTTTAATTTTATCAGAGTAAATAAAGATTTTAGATTAGATTCCTATTTTGTTTCCAGCTTTAGCCCTCCACCCTATAAGTTTGAACGCACTGTTTTTAAATCTTAAAAATCTGTAATTTTCAATTTTTAAAAAAATAAATATTGCTTTTTTTTAAAAAAACCCTCCCAATTATCAGTAAATGTGCACTTTCAGCACTGTTGATGTTATGCTTATAGATACCTGTTTCAAGGGTGTTAATCCATTTTGACAAGTTTGCTTTGCAYTAACTGGTATATATTGACTTTTGGAGGGTGTGGGATGGCAGAGCACTGTTGAGTTTAAACACCCTGATTTGTTCTAGCAGGCAAATATATTCACTGTAAATAGCATTGTGACTGCCAATACTGAGTTCGTAAAAAAGTGTCAAAAAGTTGCTAAAAGTTGTTTAAAATACTGTTTTACATAAAAAAATGCATGATATGTGTCCCAAGGGACAATCTTTATAAACAGTCATTTGSTTGCCGTAGATTATGATTCTTTGTATAACAGTTGTTTACTCCATTAATATACTTGTAAATGTTTATACTTTTAGAACTCTAGTAAAACAATGCATTTTGTTYCATTTATTMGTTTGCTCTAATTTTTGTGAAGCGTCTTTGAATAAAGCACGCTCTAGAAAAACAGGATTAGATCTTAGACTGCTACTGGTTCTTTACTCCCAAAAATAATGTAACCAGTGTAACAAGTCTTTTAGACATGTGTTAGACCTTGTTCATGAAGTTGAAGTCACCATCTCAGGTCAATCGCAAGTTGCGGCATGGTTTGCTGTCTAACATTTCACATAGTTTGTGTAGATTTCTTAAAAAAGGTAGAAAATTATACTGTAGATAGTTTRAGAATRGCACTTGAGTGTTAAATTTGGGTGCTTTTGAACTCATCTTGAAGATTCTAGATTTTGTTTGATCTGAGCTTGCTTGTGACTGGTTWTAGATTGAATTCTCTAATTGCATGGTTTATGAATTTACTGTCTGCTGTTTGAAGAGAATTGCATGACCTATGTGTAATTATAAAAGGCAAAACAGCATGTTTTGACATGCGATTGACCTGAGGGTGACTTCAACTTCAGGAACAAGGTCTAACAGACCTTGTGACGATGGGTATTTTTTTGGGGAGTGAGGAACGAATGTCGTGAATGACAGAAGATTTCACTCCTCAGTCTTCAAGGATGTTGCATGTGAAGACACATAGCATAGCAATTTTAGATTATATACAACATTAAATTAGATACATATTTTAGGTTATWCTCTGAAATCTGTAGACTGAGCTCAAGTGGATTATATAATAATGTGAACAATTAAATTAACAAAAAAAGTCTAGAAAAGTATGTGCTAAAAATTTGATAAAAAATTGCCAACCAGTATGTATGCAAATATTTGATTTGTTTTCCTAGCTATAAATTTCTTTTAGTATATATTATCTCAAAAGAGTGTTAACTGTGGTAAAATATAATTATATTTTGTCTGAGAAGTGTTAAGTTAATTCACCTTTCACAATCTTTTTCAAAATTGCTTTTAAAGGATATATTTATTGCATCAAATGAAGAAGTCTATAATTGAAGTTTTGTTTGCAATACTCTTCATAAGTCTGTGATAAAGTTTGAATTTGAAATCTTGTAGATTGTCAACTGGTATCATTTTGGATCAATGATAAGATAAAATGTATTATTTGAATAATTGTCATATAAATAATGTTATTAGGAAGGGTGGTTGTAAAACAATGACTTCGGAACATATCTAATCATATCATATACATAATTRTGGATGAATGAATTTTAAATGAATGAAACACATTTCATCATGACTGTTTGAATAATTCTATTGTGGTCAGCATTTATCTCACCTGCATCCAAAACAAAGAAAGAAATACAGATCATTTTTTATTTACTATAAACATTATTGGACAATTATTGATTGAAAATAATGAATTTGGTGTAGAGTGAACGCACTAAATCCGTGAAACAAGTACTACTAATTACTACTAAATTGTATTGATTAACAATAGAAAACAAAGGAATTAGCATAATCTAATATTTTGTACTATTTAAGCTTCATGGATTAAGCATTTTCACTCTCTGGCTTTTGTAGTTGGTTTAATTTACTTTGTATTTTTAATTTTGCATGAATGTGTTTCAAATCATGGTATAGAAATTGACCATAGCAGTTGATACATCAAGCTCTTGATTAGGACCAATAACACATTTAGATAGGTGGAGCCTATGTCTAGACTCTGTTTGATGATGAATAATTTATGTTTTCTTAGAATTTGTTGAGCTATAATTTATAGCAACTGTTTTGGTTTAGAATAAGATGAATATTTGAATACATGTAGAATTTTGAAGATGTAGAACATTTCATTTAAAAAATTATTTTGTTTAATAAAAGTTTAGATCTATCAAACACAAACAGTCATATA